AAAAGCCAACTTCTGCCAAACATAATTTAAAGCAGCCCTAAAATACTGCGCTACATTCTTTTTGCGCACAACCTGCTTGACCATAAAGGTGTTCCACAGCTCATTCCCAGCTTTGCTGGGTAGAACACAGGCTGTACCCACACATCTGGCCCATAACATTTGGCTGTGAACAAAAGCACCAATGAGATCAGCATGGATAAAAATGATAAATGTTCCCAAATCCTCCTTCTTCAAAGCACAAATGTATCTCTTGACTAGGTGAGGACGGAATTGCCCCTCTAGTGTGCTGTATTGCATAATAGACCAGGTGCATTTGGTATTTACCAAACACTAGTGAAAGCTACAAAGGAACAGTGAACCAGAGCAGGATGACTTAGCACAATGAGTTCCAGCTGCTTAAGATGTGCCAAAAATAATGCTTTGAACTCTGGGGAAGAATTCTACAGTAGCAGTCTGATTCTTTCTGTTCAATTCAGGACCATTAAATATACATACCCTTGGTACAAAATCCTGTCCGAAAAATCAACAGCATAAGACAACTTGAAAAAGGAAAAAAGTTAAGTTCTTCCTTCACACAACGACAGTGGCTGAGCTCTGCACAACTTGCATACCTCTCAAATAAATTCTCTGATCATTTTAATGACAAACAATCAAAGAGTTGCCAAAAACACTGCAAACCGTTTACCGGCTTTTCTTGGCAGCTTATGTTAGATGTAGCAAAGGGTCTTGATACTAGTCACATGCATTTTAATAAGAATTATTTTTGTCCTACTACTATTGCTGAATAAGACAGAAGAAAGCTGGTTTAAGATAATATCTACACTTAGTCTGCAGTTTCTGCTCTTTCATATGTCACGAATCTACTGCCAGTTCAATTGAGGTTCATCAACAAAAACGGAAGATGGCTCACCAGCACAGCGTCACCTTGACAGCGTAGTACTGTATACATGACATCTTTGAAAGCCTGCAAAGTGAATATACCTAAAATCAATGTGCAATTTACTTCAAAACTTGGGAGACATCCAGCACTACTGGCAAATGCTGAGGCATGAGCCATAGCTATATTTTGTGAGAAAACACTGTATACACTTTATCAAGAGCACAGTACAGTTGTCGTTGACTTCAACAAGAGTTGGATCAGATTCCACTCTAGCTATTAAAGAACAAGGCTTTCAGATTTTAGTGCAGTAAGGCTTTGTTACAAATCAATTTTAGGCGGCTCAAGGAACTCTCAGTCCCTGGATTGTCCATGCATTGAGACATGTAAACTACTTCTAAGCACCCTTTAGGCATCTTAAAGTGCCATCACTCCAGGGAAGGTTTATCTCTGATCCCTGTTACCCAGCTGATATTCCATGACTGTGTGGCCACTCCCTAGAGATAAGCTGCAAAAGTTACAGTCTTCCAGGATCCCAGGATGCAGTCATCCTCCTGTTCTGTGTGGACAAACCTTCTACCCCCAGACCTCTACTGCCTAGCGGGTGGTACCGGCACCAAGCCAATTCCCCCTCCCAGCCCTGGGGTGTGGGTGACCTGGCTGGGCAGCTCTCAGGGGCACAGACCAGTCCAAGACGAAGGGCTAGGAGGGGTGGAAGGAGGAGTCTGGGGCAGGGGGGGGAGGGCAGATCAGGGTCCTGTGAGTTATGGCTTCCCTTCCAGGACAGGGGCAGTAACCCCATGAGTTGCAGCTCCCCAATCACAATTTATTAAAATATGACTTTCTTAATTTACTTACTTTTTATTTCTTTTTAATTTCTTTTTAAATTTTATCTTTTAATGGCTTCAGTGACTGACTTTCTTTATTTCACTACCCCAGCCATCATTCCCACTCATTGCTTCTCCATCTCCCATTTCACTACTCAGTCCCCATCATTAAACTCTCCCCCTTCCAGCCTCATGCCCTCACCAACCCATCTCTCCAACCGAGCCCCACCTAGAGCAGGGATAGAAGCCTGCTCTGGCTTGCCAACTCTCTAGGGGCATGTCACAGGCTGTAGACAGTCAGAAGATTTTTAGCCTGAACATTCAACTACTCTAAACTTGAGTGACCACTAATGCCAATCAACATTTGAGAAGCTTAATGTGTAATGTGTAACAAAGCCCTGAAATTCTAGAGTGCTCAGTACCTCAGCAGGATTAGGAATTCTAATACTTGGCTGGACACAAACTCAAGTTGTTCCAGCGTCTTGTTTCTAAGAATGGCCAGTGCCCAATGCTTCAGACAGGTATAAGAACCCCATGGTACACAAAATGTAATCCCTGCCCCTGCCCCACAGTAGCTATCGTCTGGGTCTCCAGTTGAAGACTGACCTGATCCCTGAAGCATGAGGCAGAATCTCTATTCCACAATATGTTTGTTATTGTTGATTGTAATTGCTCTGTTTCCATAGAGTTTATCCTACCATAAACTGCTATGAAACATGCCAAAATCTGATCCCTAGATGGCATCTAACATAAAGTGTTTGAATTAGCTTTCAGAAAGCAACATGGTAGAGTCTGCCAAGATCACTGGTATTTCAACTAGCATATTTATCACTAAATCAGCAAAAAGTGCATAGCATGTTTAGTAAAGAAACAAGTAGGATGAAAGAACTGGATCCTAACCCTGATTACAAGCACTCCAAAAATCAGGAATGTTCTCATCCAGGATTTTGGTTTTGAACCTTTTCTAAGTAAAGTACAAATATATGTGTTTAAAATCTGTATGTCAATTGAAAAAGTGTGTCTGCTATTTGTTTTCCCTTGGAAGGTTGCATTTATGATACCAAGGACCTACCCTGTTTACAAAACGCTCTTGGAGACATTTCTGTGAGATTTTCCCAGATATTACCTAAATTCCACTCTGAACTATGTGTGACAACTAAGCAAATATGTAGAAGGGCAAAGAGCAAAATTTTTTGAAACTGTTCTCTGTGGAGCAGTCATAAAGTGTCACGTTGGAAAGTGTGTGGCATGCCCAAAATTATGTTTGATGTTCATTTAGTTTTCAAGGGGAGACACAAGACACAAGACTAACTCTACTGCACGTTAGTGTGTCACAGCAAAAGCTGTGCTAATGCACTAATGTGCAGTACAGTTAGTCTACTGCATATTAGCATCACCTAAAAGACATGTCAGCACTACTGTGAGGTAGCACCGATTATGGTGCACTAACTTAATGCACATGTAGACGTGCCCAGGAGGGAGTTGTTTATTGTTAATAAGATCTACAGAACTGAGGTACTACAGGACTGACACCCATAAGAGGCTTACCCAGGTAACTTTTCGGAGATACCTCTTCCCCCAAAGCGCTCATCTCAAGTGTGACAGGGAAGATGAATCTTTAAAAGATCAAAATAGGTGAATGTTTTGTTATACAAATATTACACAAAGAAAAATTCCCTGCCCATCATACATACACACACACAGTCCTGAAAACATTGTGAGCCTGAAAGAGTTAATGAGAGATGATGAAGCCTTGTGTACTTTGCTTCATTAAAATCTAAATTTAGGTCTTTTTATGAAGCTAATGCACTGTTTATTCTTGCTACTACAAACCATGACACTTGGGAAAAGCTCAAATTTCCAAGAATGTAAGTTTCCATTAAACACAAGAAGCTGAGAAATTGCCAAAATTATAAACTTCGACCTGTGGGAAAAAAGCAAACTTCTGTTATTTCATTGTTTGTTTGTTTTTAAATATCCCTTTCTATGCGTAAATTCTCATGTGCCCATTTCAGACCTCTCGGTACCTGTTTCCCCAGCTAAACATTGCCCGTAGGCCTGATTCTGTACCTATTTAACTCCATGGGAATTTGGTGCTATAAAAAAGGAAGCTGTTCTGGGCAGAAGCAGGTATGGTGATGAACAGGAAGCTGAAACCACTGATTGATTTTGGCCCTGCTTCTACATGCACTTATGTACAATACTAAACTCTCGTTGTGTGATTTATATCACTGAACTTAGCAGCTTGGGTAGTCATAGGAAGAATAAACAACCCAAGCCCTACTGCCAGCTAGTGAAAGAAGAAACATCTTTTGCAGTTAGGCTGAAGTCAGGGAGTTGCTGGTTGTTTCCAGACAGCGAAATCACAGACAAGTCTCCCTCTTTGGAGGTGCTACAGCGGGAGCTACTGGCGTGCAAGCCCAGGGCTCCAACTGGATTTTCACACGACTTCTGCCAAACTGCCGAAAAGGTCCGGCTGACACGGACAGCTTAGGGGAATGGGCCCCTGGATCCATGCATTCAGTTCCCAGGGCCAAAAGCCAGCGTCCTTGCAGTAACAATGTGACAACCTGGTAAGCTTAACAAAATGCAAATTATGTAGTGGAAATGCCTAGGATAGAGGGTCCCTGGTCCGTGCCAGCTTAGCTGTGCCATTGAAAACCTCTGCCTCACATTCAACGTGAATGTAACTGCTCACCAGCCAGCGGCCTTATCTTGCTTCGGTTCTAAAATCTCCACCCCACTTTTCCGAATGGGAGGAAGTTTTCTTTTCTTGCAAAGCCCTCCAAAGGACTAAAGAACCTAAGGGCCTATTTCAGCAGTGACTTTGGGGCCTGGCTTTCCAGTGGGGGCCCCAAGGGGTTGAGGAGTCGGCCTCTCCCTGGCTTTTGGTGACACCTAGGCATCCCCCTATCGGGGAGAAAAAAACAAAGGGGCGTAAGAGCCTACAGCCCTTGGGGGCTGCCCTTTGCTGTGCCCCGTGTTAGAAGTGGTGCAGAGACAAACTCCCCCTGTGCTGGGGGGGAGGGGGGGCAGGGGGTTGCTCTGCTCTCTCCCAGTCAGGGAGACAAAGGGTGCCACATCCTCCCCTTTGCGTCAGTGCAGCTCTGGGCTGAGGACACCGCCCCCGTCTCCCTCTTCCAGGGGAAAAGGCTCGGGAGTCGCGTCCTAGCCCTGGGCGCAGGAAGGGAGCGGGCCCCGCGCAGGCACCCACGCTCCCCGCTCGCCCTCACAGTCTCTCCGGGGAGCTGT